AAAAAATTAAAACAAAAATAGTTTGTAAGAAAATATCTTTAAGATGATTCACAACTCCTTATTTAATGACATTAAAACATTTTATTAATAGAGATCCAACAAAATGACAGGAAAATTGCTATAATTTGATACATGTAAATTCTATAGCTACCGAAAATTATAGGTACAGAAACATGAACTTCATCTCTCTAAAGGTAGAATGAAATAACTTCTGCCAATCTCTTATGAAAAAATGTGAGTAGTCTATAGACTCTTAGATGTTTCATTAGAATTCTATGGAAATCTCAGAAATAAGCAATCATTTCATTAAAATAGCAAATACTACAAAAGTTGTTTTTTAAATGCATAAGGAAGTTATCAATTTTCAGTCTGAACTCATTAACATTTATAACAGGCTAGATAGTGGATGCTGAGAGTTTAAAGAACTATTAGTGTCGTATTTTTGACCATCAAATTCATTACAAGAACTTTAAGTCAGTGCCATTAGAGCTTTATTCTTTTGTTTTTAAATATATTCATGAAAATAAGTTCTGGGGATGTACAGTACAAGCATAGTGACTATAGTTAGTAATACTATATTGTATATTTGAAAAGTTGCTAGGAGAGACCTTAAAAGCGGTCATCATAAGAAAATTTGTAACTGTGATTATGGATTTTAACTAGACTTATTGTGGTAATTCACAATACTGAATACAAATATTGAATCATGTACACCTGGAATTAATATATTATGTGACAATTAAATTTCAATAAAATATATATTCATGTAACAAATATGAAACTGTATTTGGCATGTAGTACATTTTTAGGTAAGTTCTTATCAGTAGTGAACCAGCCACAATAGAATACGTTTATCCTCAAAAGTTTTCACTGTAGTGCTTGACTTAATATTTGAGAGTAGATATAAGGGTCTGACTTGTCTCACTGGGAATTCAGTATGTAAGTTATTCCTGCACAGATGACAAAACATTTGAATTCCTGGAGAGAGATGCTATTTAAACATTGTGACCCTCACTTATTAAGTACTCAAGTTTATACTGCACATATGATGGATTTAAAAATGTATAGAGTTAAACCCACTGATAAGTATTTTGTGGCCAAAGCCCATCTAGACCAGTTATTTGGGGTTCAAAATATAACAAGTAGCTTTACAAAGGAGTCTAAAACTTTAAATGTTGATTAGCAGTTAAAAAAAAATTAGGAAAGAAAATCCAATCCACATCTTGGTGGGAATAAAATGTGCTAGGGTAAATAGAACAAAACAAGCGGTCACGTGTAGCTGACCTCTTTCTTGAAATCTGGAAACTGGGAAAAGTTATGAAGAAAGTCAGTCTAAGACAAAGTTAAGTTTCCAGAATTAAATAATTTTTGGATATTTACATATGTTACCAAATTCACAGTAAGCTGATGCCCCATGGGTACTGGTTGGCTGGCAGCATCAGCTAACATAATGGGTTGTCGGAAAAGTCATGATGCATTTTTGCAACGAAAAACAGAAAAAATATGTCACGACTTTTCCGACAGCCCAATACATGAGGCCCAGGTGCTTCTGCTTACACTCACATTCAGTCCAAGTACACTTCTGTGCTCATAGGTTAGGTCATGCCCTTGGCCACTTCTATCTTTTGGGTGAAAGTAAACAATAAGTAGGATCTAACTGAGTTGTTTGGGATGGTTCTCAATAAATAAGACATTGTGTACGAAGTACCTGGCAAACAGAGCCCAATAAATGTCAGCTTTTAAAAAAATTCTGTAATTGCATTGGATGGAACCCAGAAATAGCAGTGAAAGCTGTGGTTGCCAACCTGGGAGGCCCATCTGCAACCATTTTATTCAAACTTTTGAGGGGATAGCATGGTACTGTGTTCTGGTTCACAGGATAAAAATAAAGTTGGACTAACTGGTTTTGCCATGCTCACTTTGTACAGTTCTGAGTTTACTCGGAAATTAGCAATCTTGGGTAGATTTTCTAATATTTTTATCAGACTTGCAGACAAAGTATATATTCTCCCACATGCTTTTCATGGGGGGAGGGGGGCAGGAGGGGAAGGGACATACTACTAATTAAAATGAATGGGATGAATGACAGTGCTCTGCGGGATAAATATCTTAGGTAAATTCATTAAAAAACCAAAAGTACAGACACTGTGTTCTTATAAACGGTAATACTGCAACACAAAGGTCTGCTGACCATGTGGAAAGCCCTAGTTAGGCACTTTACAGAAACTGTACTCCCAAAACTAGGGAGCATTTTTTTTTTCTTTCAGGGGTCATTGACCCACAGGGGAAAAAGAATAAAGGGTCACAGAAAAGGTTAATAGGAACTTAATTTGGTTATCACTGGATTAGTTTTAAAGGTCACAGTAAAAAAGTGAAACACCTAATTTGAAATTTAAGAACAGGATAACACAAAGCTTTTTTCAACATGTCCAATGATGGGAATATTTTAAATTTTACTTCAATCAGTATGTCCAATAATGGGGTAAGACAAAGAAGTGGAAAAAGGACAAGGAGAGAAACCTGGACAGAGAGACACAGGGAGAGACTGAGACCAGCAGAGAGCCCAGAAAAACACACACCCACATGGGGAGAGGCTCATTGGATTTTTTGCCATTTTTTTTTAAACCTATTTTGTAACAAACACTGTCACAACTCTTCATCTGTGCTATGGTCTTCAGAAATAACACTTTTCACTGCTACTCTTTAACAAAAGCTATTCACAATTTATCAACTCTCTTTATCCTTGAAATTCTTATAGTGCTTACTACTGTTCAACAGAACTTTCTTCAACGATGAAAATGTTCTATATATATGAGTATGTGCTGTCTTACACCGTAGTAACATGTAATTATTGAGCACTTGAAATGTGGCCAGTGCAAAAAAAGAATGGGAGTTTTTTATTTTATTTCGTTTTAACTAAATAGTCACATGTGGCTCTTACTGGACAGTAAAGGTCTAAAAGACAGTTACAGTGGGAGGAAAAGTGGCCTCAAGGCCAATGGAGAGATGAACAAGCATAGGTGAAGTTAAACCACAGAATGAATCACAGCCTTTCAGCTGGACCTTCTCTCATCCTTAAATTGTTGTATCATATACACAAAAGTACTACGTAAACATTATTATTGCTAATAGTCATACCAGCCAAACTAGCCTCAGAACAGAGTGATCTTGCTTGAGGTGTGCAATTCCTGTTCCAGATACACACTCAGTGAATCTGGATGAACTGTTTTTTGTGCCTCATATCTAAACTCCCACTGTTATAAAACGAGACCAGTTCTACCTTCATTGTCCCTCAAAGAAACATGCTGAAGAAGGTGAATAGCTCTGAAAGGAAGGCCTTCGCCATTCTCATAAGCATGCTGTACCTGACCACTTCCTTGGCTGTCCTCTGCTCCCCTTAATCCTTTCTTAAGTCCTCTTATGATTTTTTTTTTTTTTTTTTTTTTTTTTTGCCAGAGGAAGACACTCTTTGAGGAGGTGTAAAAAGAAAGTCACTGGTAGGCACTGGGGCAAAAATATCAGTCAGGTTAAAGTGTACAGGGTACATCTATTTCCAAGACTTTTAGTGCTTTCAGGAACAAGGCTTTTACTGCAGCAGTGTTTAGTACTTTATGCTTTCACTTTCATTCACAAACAGCTATCAATCAGCAGTCTGACTACTGATTCAGCAATGCTCTGCATCATTTGATTCGTCTCTAAATCTACAGGTTTTAATTAATTTTCTGTGTACTTACGCAGCCTTACTTCAGTCAATTGCAGCAAGTCTCTTTCCCTGCAAGCGACCAGTGAATATTTTGTTTCCTGGAAGAGCTGCATTTTGGACCTCATAAAATCCTCAAAAAGGAGAGATCTGGACTGTGAATGAGTCATCTGCAAATCACACCAATGACTGCCCCTGCCTGGATTAGTCAGTCAGTCAGTGAGCTTCACCCCATCCTGGTATGCAGCGCTTGTCGCATAGTAGGCCATCAATAAATACTTGCTCTACGAATGAAGGAAAGCAAGTCAAGTGTACGGGTGGTCAGCCTTCTACAAATAAATTGTGGACTACGGGTCTCAAGATGCTTTTTGACCTGAGCCCTTCCTCTTGACCAATCTTGGATGAAAATTTTACGAACGCCTTCCCAATTCACTTGCCCTCGCTGCAATCAGAGGCCAGAGCCTTCCTTTACACCCATGACCTCTACAGGCGCCTTTCCTCTTTCCGCTCGAGAACAATAACTGCCCACTGCTATGTCCTCCACAAGGACCCTAGGGCCAGGGTTGAGGGGGGGACCGACTCAGGCCTCCATTCACCGCAGGGCCTCTCTGCAACCCGCCGCAGGACTGCGGGGGGCTCCCTCGGTCCTGTCAGTCGCCACCACAGCTCCAGGCTGCCCCCCCCCCGCGCCTCGCCCATCGCGCCCCTTTTCCTGCCTCTCACAGCCCTTGGCGCGTCAAACGCGCCCTTTCCTCAGACCCCCGCCACGAGCTTTCCCGCTTCCGCCGGGCGTTTGAGGCCCCACGGAGGGCTGGGGGAGCCCAGCTTCCGCGTTGGCGAGAGGCGTGGGCCATGACGTCACTGCGCCCTAACGTCAGGCCGACGTGCAGCACGGTCTCCCGGGAGACCGGGAAAGCCGTTTCGCACCCGGCGGAGGCGAGGTCTAGGTGAGAGACGACGTAACGCGTCTTTGAGCCCCCGGGTGCCGGGGTGCTCCAGGACGCAGTTCCGGAGCGGAGGGGTGCAGCCCGCGGGGAGAGGGCCGGGAAGCTGAGCCGCAGGGCGCGAAGGGGTGGGGCCCTGTGCCTCGCCCACTCCCCGCGAGCTCGCCCAGCCCAGGCACCCCCTTTTCTCCAGAATGCGCGGCTCGTCCTCACCCCTGCACCCTCCTCCTCCTCCTCCTCTTCCTGCCACGGCAGGTCCCGAGGGAACGGGGTTAGAAAGGGACAGGTTTCCAAATCCTTCCAGCAGTTTTGGCTGCCTTTGCAGTTGTTTCTTTTTGGAAAAATCCTGCCGCTTCAGGAAAGTCTTAGGACATGACCTCCTGCTCCACCTGACCCTGACCTGCTCATTGTGGGTGATTCGCACCAGGGGAATGGTTCTTTATGAAAGGGCCTGGAAGCTGAACATGAGTTAATGGCCCAACGTGACACTGGTGTAAGGAAGGGAATTGGTAGTGAATAATCCAGGACGTTTCTGTGTTTTTCACATCTTCCTCGTGATCCTGTTAGAGAGCGAGTTCACAAATACCTACCTAGCTGCTGCCAGTTGTCACCGCACCTTTTCCCGGAGGGCAGTCTACACGTGTATAATACGAAAGACTTGTTTGGCAAAACTCGCAAAATAATGTAAGGGTAAATTAAAATTAAAACATTACCCTGTTGCCAAAGGGAAAGAGACTTCCGCCCTCCCTTTCTTGAGAAACCCCTTATCTGTGACATGCTTCCTCGACTCCTTTAATATGTATACAAATCTTTTAAAGACACAGAATGTTTTCCTTTAGGACCTGGGAGCTATTTCTCTAAAATGTAAGCAACAAGGATGATAGCTCCCCTATTTCCATATCTCCTTGGGAGTTTAGCCTAATTAGCCTGACTTCTAGTAACCACCTGCTTTGTCATGGAGATGTGCGTTCCTTAGTACAAACTCAGCTAGCACAGACGGCTACTTCAATTACCAGGTGAATGTGAAAGGAACTATGAAAGAGTGACAGCAAGCTGTATTGAGGACAAGTTACCATTTATTGTGAGAACATGTATGCAATGGACTGTATCTGCCTGGTTGTATAAAAAGTGGGATGTCTTTGTGTCTTTGTAATCTCATTAGCAGATTGGCTGTGATGTACCCGAGTGTAGATAATATGTGTTCAATAATAACACTGTTATCTTTCTGCACTGTAGAGAGATTTTTCTTGGTTGGCAGAATATTTTATCTTTAAGTTTTCCTCAATAATAGAACCTAGTATTTCTTCTCCTTTGGTATATAGTAAGGCCACAAAGTTGGAATCGATTTACAGACAATAAAGGTATTAAATAAAAGCTGTTCCACCGGTGCCTTGTTTATTCTGTCACTAGATCCACGCTTTCAAATAATTTTGTAGGTGGAATTTTAAAAGGAGATTTAGTTGATAATTTAGGAGAAATTCTACTCCCAGTAGAGTTTAATTAAGTTGATGCCATCTTACTTTACTGATGGTGAGTCCATTGTAAAATGGCAGAAATGAGAATAATGTGCCTTTTGTGAATAATGAGCTCTTGCCACATCACGGTGATAGTCTGACAAACATCAGATTATTATGTACTCAGCCATGAGGGCCTATGTTAACTATGTCAGTTAACTTTACCTGCATAATTAACTGCAGTTAACTTTACTAAATGTGTGCACGTGCACACACATAGTACGTTTATATGGGACGACAGCTCATTAGTTATTTGCTTTAAACAGCAGCTCATTAAAACAAGGTGTTTTGTGCTAATGGGATAGGGAATCTTCTGCCAATGGTTGCACAATTTAAAAAAGTACTGCCACTACAGCAATTTTTGTTAACTATAATTCCCTGCTACCTTGGCATAGCTGGGGTTGCTGTCTGTGATAGAGTAATATGCCTCTTTGTCAAAATCCTATCCTGATCAAAAGCAAACAGCCTTAGGAAGCCTTCACTAATTTCCCACTCCAGGACATTTTTCTTTCCTGAACTCCTAGATTGTTCCTGTCTGCAACTTTTGGGTGCAGGCCTTCTTTCCTGCTGTGGAATTGTGCCTGTATCATCTTACTCTGCTGCCCCTCTTATACCCCTCACTGCTTGGGTATATATAAACATCTCTCATGCTTGATACTGGACTGTCAATTCTTTCTCCAAATTGGGGAATATTACAAAAAAAAACAAAACAAAAAACAGCCCAAAGTTCAACTCCATTCACCCCGTGTGGTTTTATGAAAGTAGAGTTTTATTTTGAATTGTTTTATTATAAAATGAAAATCTATTAAAATTAAATTTCTGCATAAAAATTATGGCTTCTCGTGCTTTGATGACTCTTCTGTTCAGTGTCTGAGTATCATATTTAATCTGATAACTCTGAATATTTTTTCTGTACATCATCATTTAAACCAGCATTCATATCACAATTGCTTTTCTTATTGCTGAACTAAAATACCATATTTAGGTATTTTTCTGGCAGCTTTTTGAAAAAAAATAACCTTGCTTAAAAAAAAACCAAACAAATAAATGCGTCTGTTTAAAATGCCAAATGATCCTTACTCTGTATTTGCAAAACAAATAATCAGTTGTAAACCAAAATGGAAATTGCCATTAGACTATTATTAGTAAAGAAAGAAAAAATTATTTCTAACTACTGTCAGTAGTCTCTCTATAGGTCTTTCCTGTTCTATTGGCCCTAATAACAGAAAACCCCACTTGTATCTTTTAACTTTGAGTTGATGAAACAAACATCTGTTGAAACAGTTACCATCATTAATCTCCAGACACTTCCAAGAATTTATATCTTTTAATTGGAAACTTTTCACATTATTTTAATTCTGACGATTGCCATCAATATTTTTAGGTCATTTTACTTCTGTGCTCCCTCAGTATATTTTGGGAAATGGATCGTCATATTCCCATGCATGCGTTACCTGAAGAAATCCAAAAGGTATGATGTTATATTGTGTTATTATAGCATAACATTAGGAGCATTTTAACAGATAATTCTAAAACCTGGGGGAATGAATTCTGAGATTTTGTGTTTTTTTCATCATGGCATCTGCAATGAATTGGTGGGTGGGGAAGGGAATAATCCTAATGGTCAGAATTGTGGAATTCAGTTTAGTGCAGAGTGTTTGGCCTGTGAAAGAAGACAGACACACAATAATTCCATCACAGTATTTCACCACGTGTTTGTAGAGCTCTTGTGAAAAGAGAGCCCAAGAATGTCCAAATCATATATTTAGATACTTTTTGTAGCAGCTTGTCAGTAAAAATAAGGGTTTTAAAAAAATGAAATAAGTGGGTCTTTAAAATTTTAGGTGATCCTTAGTCTGTATTTGCAAAACAAATATTTAGTAGTCAACCACTACAGAAATTACAATTAGTTTGTAGCTTTTTATGATGCTAAATTTTTGTCTCTCTCAAAGAGGCCATTTCAGTTTAATCTTAATTCTTGCCACTTCCTGTGCAGCAGGCACTTTTTTAAGCCCTTTCATATATATCAACTCATTTAATCTGGTTAACAATCAATTCTTCACAGATTCCATGCTACTCTTTTCCATGTTCATATTTGTCCTCAGGCAAAAGCATTGCTTCCATGTTTAGTTGGGCGATGCATGCATCGTTAACAGTATAATCTTAAAAATATCTCTTTGAAACTTATTGATAAACTGTGAATTAAAACCTGAGACCTTAGCTATTGTTAATCATTCAGGTTTTTCAGTAAATCTATAGTCAACTCTTAATTAAAAAGTAACGGAGTGGTAGTTAATAAAAAATTGCAATCAACTCTCAGATATACTTTTACCCTTTGTGCATGTTGCTTTGGGCTGCCTGTCAGTATTAACCATGCCATTGATTTAATTTGATGCTTACTATTACTGCATGTTCTTTAGATTTATGTAAGTTGCCACCTAGCAGGAACTGGAAGGGAAGTCCAGTTACCAGAAAAGACCCTTTCAACCATTGCATTTAATTCACTTCACCTTGTAAGTTAGATATAAGGGATAGTAAGCACAGAGAGAGAGCTCAGCTATGAGAAATGGTGCTTTTTTTTTTTTTAAAGATTTTTTATTGGGGAATTGGGGGGAGGGGAACAGACAAGTTGCTGTCCTTTTGTTCTTCAGTCTAGTTGTAGAGGATGTTGCTTCACTGGCCCAAGCTGGCACCATCATTGCGCTCTTCCCGGGTGAGGCAGATCAGTCGCCGGCTTCTGGACAGCCGCTCACTGCGGCTGCTGGCCGCTCACGCTGGCTGCTGGCTACATACGGTAGCCCATGGCAACCCACTGCAGCAGGGGCTGCAGCCTACGCCGTCGCCGGCAACCCACAGCAGCCCAGCTCCAGGTTGAGCTGTTGTTCAGCATCTTAGCTGTAGAGGGCAGTGTCACTGGCCCTCATATGTGGGATCCGAACTGGGGCCCTCTGGCATCCCAAGCCAGTTCTTAACCACCGAGCCACTCGGCCGGTCCGAAATGGTGCTTTTATGTGTTTGAAGACATGGAAGTCCCTTTCCCTCTCCCTCAGCTGAGCTCCTTCTACATACTAATCTGTGTGGTAGAGATTAAAAGAAGCAAAACAAAACAATCTTCAAGAAACAATACCAATAGTTTAAATCCCAATCATATTTGTCAGGAAGAGGATATATAATGACATGAAAAAGTAATTCTAAAAGATAGTATATGATTTAAATGTCATAGAAGGTAGTATCTTCTCTGAGAAAGGAGAAAAACTCCCCAAGTATTGGGATCATCAAGAGAGAAGCTTTATGCAGGAGACAGAGCTGGAACTGGCCCTTGAAGGTGGAATATTTCTATGGCTCGATAGGCAATAGGGCATGCTAGGCCAAGGGAACAGAAAGCTTACTGGTGAGAAAAAGCTGGCCAACTTAGAGAATGTTTAACAATAAATGTTTTGAATATATGAAAGTGTGTATTTATTTTGACCAGGTTTTTAATGAGAGTTGTAGAATGTTTTTTTTCCTCATGTTTAAGGTACTTTATAAGTAAATTGTTTAAAAAATGCTCATCCAAGCATCTCATAAATCTAGGGTTATGTTCTCAAAGCACGAATGGCAAGCAGCTGTGCATACAGTGCAGAGAAGTGGGGACACCAGGAGAAGCTCAGCTGCCTAAGGCCCTGGATACATATTCTGATCATAGCCTTTGACCTGCTGAATGCTTAGAATATAAAGTGCAGCTTTGTATTTTTTCAGACCTAAGTTAGATACATTTATACAAAGGATGTTTATCCAGTGCCTAGTATGTGCCAGACACTATTCTGGGTACTTGATTAGAAAGCAACCAAAATGTGTACATGCATCCATCCCACAGCCTATTAGAAGGCAGTCTAAGTCAGTTATTTGTTTTCCATAACATTTTACCTATGTTTGATTCACCTAGGTGGCCCATAATGTGCTTGTTAAATCGCCTAGTGATGAGACAGTATATCCACCTACTCAGCTTGCATACATCATTCTATAAAGAATCATGTTAAATAGATATATAGCTTATAACGGTAATAGGAATACTTTGGATTAGAATTATTCAATAATACTTCACTATTGAAGAAAACAAATTATTTCTTTCCATAATAGCTTAGAAATTGTGCTCCATTTCTTTATTGGGTAAAAAAAGGATGTGAGGTGGTTGGATCAGTGTACAGGGATAGAAAGGCCTTTCAAAGGCTCCCCCCGCCACCCCCTTTTTCTGTTAACTTTTTGTGTTAGTTTTTATGCTGGCTCTTCTTTCTAGAGAAATCCCTGCTGTGTTTCCTTTTTTTCTTTCCCTGTGTGCAGACAAGGAAGGTTAGTGGAGAAATCAGGGAAGAGAAGGTGAGGGGAATCCTGCCTCTTTATTTCTTTCTGTACTTTTGCTATACAATGTGGATATGGGATGGCTGATAAATGACATGAAAGATACTTAATAAGAACATGAAAATGACTGTACTCTGCTGTGCACGTGATAGCAAAATAGGCAGTAGTAGAAAAGCTGCAAGAAAAAGCCGGGGTGGTAGGGAGATGGCCACTGAAGGGGAAGTGTGGGGAATGCTCACGATAATAAGCTGTGGTAGAGAATCCACTGCCTGGCCAGAAGGCTAAGATTGTTATCACCTTCCCCCTGGTCTCCTCGTCTTAGGGACTCATAGGCAAGAAAGAATAAGATAATCTTTTGACATCCATTCCTGGATGTTTTTGCTTTTTATCACAATTTCTGACTGAGCATAAAACACACCTCAGACTTCCATCTCTCCTAGTTGCACAAAATGTAAAACAGGCCCATGGGCTGGACAGGAAGACCGCACTCATCCCCGTTGTCTGCTGCTGAACTCTACAAGTTACTTCAATACGTACTTAGGCCAATATATATATATAATTTTTTTAAAGGTTTTTATTGGGGAATTGGGGGATGGGAACAGCGCTGGGGAATTGGGGGAAGGGGAACAGACAAGTTGCTGTCCTTTTGTTCTTCAGTCTAGCT